CGCCGTCCGAGAACGCTGAGATCTCAGGAACTATAGCAGATACAAAGATTAACCATGAAGATTCTTGAGGTCCCGGGACAGCGCAAGTTTATTACAGCATCCTGCCACGCCCACTCTAACGCCCACAAATCGAAAAACTAAAATTGCTGAAATCTCAGGAACTATTGTAGATAGAAAGTTAAAATTCAGAAAGTATAATCTTTAGATGACAGCGCATTTTATAGTGCTACTACTATCCGGCCACACCCACCCATACGCCCACAAGGCTCAAAAGACTTTTCGGATTTCGGTTTTCGGATTTTCTAGAAAAACTGATATCTCGGTAACTATTCGTAATAGAAAGTTCGGATTAAGCATGTAGGTTTCTATGATGCTCCCAATGCGAATTGTTTTTTTCCGATCAAGCCACGCCCACTCTAACGCCCACAAAACCCGAAAAACCAAAAATGCAAAAATCTCGAAAACTTTAAAAGCTACACAATTTTGCTTAGGAACACGTATTAAGGAGATGCCTCTGCAACTTGCCACGAAGTTGCATCCGGCCACGCCTACTCTAACGCCCACAAACCGCGAAAAACTGTGGCGTCTATGATAATATTATGAATGCGTTCGTTTGACCTTGTATAACCTATTTCTGTTAATATCTATCGATTTACCAAAGATTTTTCAAATCGGAACATTATTTCGCTATTTATAAAGAAATTAAGTTATAAGGCCTCACATTGGCAGTGACGTCACAATAAGGATACTCAACATACTCCCTCTGACAATAGGTGGCGCCTTGTGAATTTCCACTAGCAAAATAATATTTTAAAATTTTGTAAAACAGTAACGGGTATCATATAGTCGCGGCACTCGACTATAGCGTTTCCTCTTGTTTTATCATCAACATGGGCTAAACATTTTTTTAGTAATATGACAAATACGATTTTCAAGAATTGCGACCCTCAACTATGTAAATTATGTTTTTAGTTTCGATTTGAGTTACGACACAGACATTGTTCAGCAAATGCAAAAATAATATTCAAAGTTACTAGAAAGCTTATAGATTTGTTTATGATCTAGTCAAAATGCATAACCAAGCTTATCTTTTTTAATAGGTGTGCTTAATGTAAGCCAGGAAAAGAATTCATAGGGAACTTCTATATCTTGTAGTTGTAAATATTATTATATAGATATTATAAAGAAAGGGTACAGCGAAATGGAGGTGTTGCTGATATGTTTAATTCTAGATAATCTAGCCTTTTTTGTACTAGCAGTTTTACAGGTAAGTCTCAAGTAAGTATCAAGCCAAATATTTTAAAATTTCTCAAAGTTTTAGAGAGATTACCATCTTTAAAATTTCTCGGGTAAGTAACAGATAAGAGCCCAGGATAATTTTTTCAACTTTCATAACTTTATAGGAGAAAAATGCATAATTCAAAGAATGAAGGATATGTGTGTAAAACTTGGCTGTAGATTTGATGTTTCAGCAGTCCATAGGCTTTTGATTGAAAAACAACCGATAAAGATAAGCCTTTTGACACCTCTCGACATATGTGCCTTAATATGTTACATATGGTCAGGGCCTATAAGGGCATTCTTGTAATATAGTTTAGGTTATTGCCCTGATGTAGCTAAGGATTTATGCGAATGTTTAGGTTTACTGTTGTGGTGTCATAATTATAAATATTGAGATGAAGATAAAGGTAAGTATTGATTTCTTTAGGTGGAATTCATTTATATTACCTCTTTATTTTTTAGTAAAATCTAAGATGAACGAATTAGTTGAGTGTTGCAGCTGTAAAACGAGCTTCAGTCTAAAACATATCTATAATAAGCGTGCCTAACTCAAGAAGTAATCTTTCTTTTAAACTCTAAGGGGTGAGTTCCTCCCCTCAATCAAAATAAAAAAGTACCTCATAATTATCCTCATAATGTGGCAATGACTTGTGCCACAACCAAATTTTGAAACTTAAACAATTAATCAAGCTATTTCGCCCACAGAATTTTAAAGTTTAGACACCACCAAAAGCACTTCTGAACCAAAACTACAAAAAAAAAAAAAAAATATGAAAACATAATAAAAATAAACCTAAAGTTGGGCTGACTGTTAGTGACAGATCCAAAATAAAACCAAACACGCCCCGTTTTTAAAGTGGAGACTCGTAATTAACAGAATTAAATGCTGCAGCGTGCAAACTGGGTAAATTGTGCTTTGTGCAGTGACCAAAAAATGACACGGCCAGAACCGGAGTCCGGAATTTATTTACAATGGCCAACCGCATGGCAACGAGAATTGCTCTCATATAACATTAACATTCGATTGGGGCCCGGAAGTTGCATTTTACTTTTAAAAGCAGAAGAGAGCAGAAATGATTTTATTTTTTATATATTATATATATACATATAGTATATTCCACAGACAAAGCGAGATCTCTGCACATGCTGCTATTTATGCAAGAAATTCTGTGCAGACACGGCGGCTTACAAAAGGGAGAGGGGGTGGATGCCTGGTGGGTTAACTCATACGATATGCAACCAGAGGCGGAGATACCAGAAATGCACAGGAAAAATAAACTTACATAAAAACACAATTTTTAATTTACAAGTATTATTTTGTAGATCTTAACTGATAAGCAGAAGTGGGTAATAAGAAAGTCAAAGGGTTGCTTAAGATTTATAGTAGAAAGGTGATAAAAGCTAATCACTAGTTACCAAAGAAGATATATCTTTCTTTTTCAACTTTTTCTTTTACAACTTTTCCACTGCAAACGTAAATAAGTTAAAAGACTTTAAGAAGCTTACTTAAAATTTAAATATATTTTTTAATGAAAAAGGATGAAGGATATTTAGCATTCTCTTAGTGCACCCACATCCGCCTACATTTCTTTTCATTTCGCATTTTTATTTTTTTCCCAACACCCCTTTCTACGTCGCCTCGCCCATTCACCCACTTTTGCATGCAGCGTTGTGTCAAGTTTTTAAACGTCAGCTGTGTCTACAGATGGGTTAAGGGGGAGAGAAAGGGAGACTTGCGAGGCGATGGTGGGTTAAGAGGATGGACTCGGGGGCTTGGCCCACATTTCTTTGCAGTTTCGGACTGCCGTGCTTTATGCAGATTCATATGTAAATCAAGTGAAAACATTACAGGAAGTGGACTCTTTTTTTTGTTTGCTCCTTGCAGAGCTGACTTACGAAAGTCCTAACCGGAAGGTGAAATTGAATGTCATTGGCTAATATCCCAAAATATTTTCTTGGTTATGCGGAATTTTGTTACCATGGACTAGAGAATTCATCAATTCCGATGAACTTTAATAACATTTAAAAATAATATAAAACAGAAAATAACTTAAATTTAATACAAGAAGTTATTAAATATTTAAAAATTAAACAAAAACGAAAACAGGAAAATCTGTCCTTTTCGCAATCCTTAAGGTATACAGGCATTTATATGCACATAAGCCGGATCAAACCATCTTTAGGACCAAAGAAGAAAAATGAACTCTCAAAACGGAACCCAAATCCGACACCGAATCAGAGTCGGAATTGCATTTCAAGCGATTCGTGGCGCAAAGTGAATGTAATAAAGCGATTTCTTTGCTTAAATATCCCGGTGCTAGCGCACTGCGGATAATTCTATCTGATGCACCACCCACTATAAACCCTACCCACTAGCCCCTTGCCTGTTTTTCACCCCCTTGCATTATTTGCATATGGCCATATGGCTTGTGGAAATGTATGTGTTTGTGTGTGTGTGAGTGTGTTTTGGCTGAAAAAGGAATGGAAATTGAGAAAACGAAATGGAAAGCTCTGCTGCAGTTGATTTGTGTTTTTACTTGGTTTCAGCTGTGCCAGCCCCCAAAATCCACCCACCACCCCACTCCGCTATTTTTGCGATGTTTCAGTTGTTTTTTTGGCGTCTTATCAGGCTATTCTTTGTTCGAAAGAACGGAGAACAGAAAACGAGAATACGAATGCGAATGCGAACTCTAGACCGTAATCGAAACTGAAACCAAAACCATAACACTGATGACCATTGTTTTCGATTCCGATAGAGCCGCTTACTCATTATCTTCGCCATGATAGCCTGAACGTCTATTTAGTGAGCTGAGAAAACAATGTAGTTGGTATCATGACTCAAGAAAGAGCGCAATGTTGAGTAGCCGAGTCATGTTTCAGGATTGCAAAAATGTCACAAGTCAAGCTTATCATTTCTCAAGCAAAGGTAACTTGTTGAGTCGAGATATTGCATTATTATTTATCAACTTATTAGGCAAGTAAAATAAATAACCATTTAAGGTGGGATTATAAGCAATGTATTTAAGAATGAAAGAAAGAATCTTTTCGAATAACAATGTTAACCATTATCATTTAAAAAACAGACTTATTACACATAAAATATTTTATAAACTTAATTCTTTTAGTGCACTGAAATTTCCCATTGATATCAGCTTATCTTTTGCACAAAGAAAACAGTAGAATGTTTCATTTTACGATCAATCATTTTTTTTATAATAAGCAAAGCTGTGGAAATAAAGATTACCAAAATATAGCTGGAATTATAATAATTTCTCTTATGATAACCGCCAGTTAGCACAAGTCATGGAAGCAACAGTTTTCTGTGACTTATCTCTTTATTTTTCCGCCTTCCTCTCATTTCCATCAAAGCGGAAGATGCAATCAGAGCAAACAAAAGGAAATAATAATAGACTCGAGACCCGCTCAGAAGATTATTTCAAATTAGATTACAATAAGAGAGAAAACTCTGAACTTGAGGCTTCCGCTCAGAGATGGCAGATCAGATTACTCATTCTACATGGGTCATTCAGAATAAATAACAATGACTATAATCGTATCCATAATGAAAACAATAAAGGTAATTTAGTTTCAGTAAATATCTAACTAGAAACTGGCCTAGTTTTAGCCTTTTACCTAAAGTTTCCTTAAGTGATAACTCAATGTTAGTTTAATTTTAGTTTTACATAGCTAGTTTATAAATTTTCTAAAATACCAAACTGGTTGTTTAAGTTTAAATTTCTTTATTTTAAATTAGATTACAATGGAGAAGAAAAACTGAATCTCTCGACGCGCTCTCCCTTTCTCTCTTCAGTATTTCGAGGTTAAATTAGAGGGTTGAAGCGCCTACTGAATTTTAGCGGGAATCTCAACACAGATTATGTCTGCGCTGTCCTGATCCTGTAGCTCCCACTTGACGAGAACCGAGACCTTTGGGATAGGATTTCAGGACTGGTAAGGTAGCAGTATAGCGATAGGACTCTCCTTTCTCTAGTGGGCATTTCAATCCACTGTCCACACAGGCATCGGGATTTGCCAATGGGAAGGGCATCTCAATACCCAGGACCTTGCCATGGACTACCGTTTTGACCGCCTTAGCCTCCTCGGCCAATGCAAAATCAATGGAGAAACTAACTGTGGTGTTTCTCTTGAGGATGCATTCCGCCTTGGTGGTGTCACATCCCTCGATGGCCACCCTGGTGAACTTGCCCGTCTTCGATCCGCAATCACTGAACTCCAAAGCGCCCGCAAAGGCCACCAAAACAGCACAGGCAATTACCGCGTATCTCAGCATTTTTCTCCAGTTAATTGAATTACAAGGTAAATATATTAAGCGCTGTCTTTTCCGTTGTGTTTCGCCTTTTTTTTCTGCTTATTCACAGCGCTACGAATCTACTAAATCTGAGGAGAGAGTCCGTCTACCAAAGCAAAGTCAAAGCTTCTTTGAGAACTAAAAACAGCTGCGCGCGACGACTAAGAAGTGAAAAGCTTTCTCCGCTGATTTCTAGCGGTGATACCAACTATCGATTGAAATTGATTTTTAATTGAAAGACTTTAAGTAAAATTTATTTTCGTGCGAGATTTTACTAAGCTTAAAGTAAATTACTTAAAATGGAATTTTAATTTTTATTTTTACTTAAACCACAAATTGTATAATTAAAATTTTTAATAAAAATTTCAATTACGCATCCTTTTTGAAATAGTATTTAATAAAATTAAAAAATTTTTAAATCTAGGTACATATACTTTGGAATAAAATTAATGTAACATTTTATTGCCTACTTATGGGCATATTCGACAATAAAGAAGGCAACTATTAAGTTTAAGCTAATGATTATAATGTTCAAAATGTTTTATTACTTTAAACAAAAAACATTTCTTAAAAAAAGCTAAAGCTATTTGTTGAAAAAAAAGCCAAAATACGTTAGATAAAAGCCAAAATGAGAGCACTAAAAGCTCAATACCTCACCCCCGCGATAAATATCGAAAGCAGACCGGTAAAAGCTTGAGCTTTTTTTTGCGTTTGCCGTGCAAAACCGCCTTCCTTTACTTTAGTATTCTCTTGAGGCCAGCGGCGATTGGTTTTGCAATTACTAATTTTTATTTAACTTAAAAGATAGTACAACTATTTAGTGCATTTAAACAATGTCGCAGATCTGTAAGCGCGGTTTGTTGATCAGCAACCGATTGGCGCCCGCCGCCCTCCGTTGCAAGTGAGTAAGAGAGAAAGAAAAAAGAGATTTTAAAACGGAAAAGAGACAAAAAGCCGCTGAACACGTTGCAGATGCAGCGGTGTCATTTGCCAAGGTCATTGCAGTTGCCGGTCGAATTGCACTTATTATTTGTGTTTATTTTCTCCATTACTGCATAATTTGTTTGCCCTTGTAATCTGTTGTCCAGTTTTAGCTTTATACTATATCTGTTCTGGGGATTTATTATTATATCACAACAGAGGCTTTATATTTCATCATCATTTTCTTTATGCAAATCTATAAAACAATTGTTTCCGCTCTTTCCAGCTGTTTTGTCTTGTTTGCTAATATTTGCATATGTTTTGGGCTCTCTACTACTAGAAAATTACTTTCCAGTTTACGTACGTGTATTTATTTATAAAAGACAATTTTATGACGTTCCATGCTATTTTTTGCCATCTTTCTTCCGCTCGAGAGAACAATTTTGAAACCACATGATGAATAGGTTAGAAGATAATGAGTTTTAAATGCGGTACTAGAAATTAAATAACTTTTAATGATTACTAAATTTATAGCTTAAACTATTTTTTTAACACTCTTAAACCTAAAATTTTTATTAAAATTTAAAAATTACAAAAAATTTGAGAATATTTACTTTTATATATTAAGGATTAACCTTGACAAATAAGTCAAAAAAATATCCTTAAAAATAACTTCTAAATTTGCAAGTTTTGAAACTCTAATTTGGCCACCAGACTCGTATCATTATGAAAAGAAGCATTTTAATGACGCTAAAGGATATAGCTGATGTGTGGACGCACGACCGGGGAAAACGAACATGCGGGTCGAATACAGCGTAGGGCATTCGTGGCCATATCACGCTTATGTCGCGTGCTTTGATTTCAATTTTATGGAACTGTTTCTTAAGTTATAAGCGGTTTGTTTTATCGAACTGCAGAAGGTTTCCTTCGGAAATCAAAGACAGGTGGCACCTAATTGAAAGAGTTTAATTAAGTTTGATTATTTCCAAGATTTATTGCGGTTCTGAATAATGAGAAAGGGACTTGGGAAGCCGGCTACGTCAGCAAACAATCATCGACCTTATCGCTGACGTAGGCTTTAATGGATCTATATTGTGTATTCTGTAAATCGTCGACCGAGTTCCCATAATAACATGTTTACAGCTGATAAGTGGGGGCCATTTAAGACCCCCAAGTCATAGGTGTTATTAGGTGTTACCAGTGGGGGCGAAATCCAAGAAAACCTCCAGATGACTTTCAAACTTTAGTCATGAAACCGAAATGATAAATGATAGCCACAAGTGGCAGACGTGGATGAGATAACCCACTAAACAGTTTTTCTAATCTACCAATTAAGTTAAAACCAGATTAAAACAGCGCGGGGTGTACGAGTACTTGAGGGTTAAAGGTGGATGGGGCGGAAATTCAGATTACAAATTTTTTTTTAGGGCTCTTTAGGGTTAAATCATAAAAAGGAAGTATAAATGCTAAATAGATAAAAAATGATTACCTAAAAAAGCTATCTAATATGGTATATTATTTTAGTCAGAACTCAGATAAGGCTAAAAAGATAAAGAATTTAACTTTATAACCTTGAATAATTAATAATCTTTAAGGTTAAACCGTTAACAATTTTGGGCAATACGATTTTTGGTTATTACATAATTATTTATCTATTTTTTAGATCAACATGGTTCTCTGAGGTGCAAATGGGTCCTCCTGATGCCATCTTGGGCGTTACAGAGGCCTTTAAGAAGGACACGAACCCGAAGAAGATCAACTTGGGCGCTGGCGCCTATCGTGATGACAACACTCAGCCCTTTGTGCTGCCCAGTGTTCGGGAGGTGGGTTAAAATAGATTAAAAATAAAAATCTATTAACTTAAAAACATAATATTTTTTATAATCAGGCCGAGAAGAGAGTACTGAGCCGTAATTTGGACAAGGAATACGCAACTATTATTGGCATTCCAGACTTCTACAACAAGGCCATTGAACTGGCTTTGGGCCAGGTAATTATACTCTAAATAACTATAAAATGGCTCATATTGTAATTACTAATCCTATTACCATTATAGGGATCCAAGCGTCTGGCGGCCAAGCACAATGTGACCGCCCAGTCCATCAGTGGAACTGGTGCTCTGCGCATTGGAGCTGCATTTCTGGCCAAATTCTGGAAGGGCAACCGTGAAATCTACATCCCAACTCCATCTTGGGGTAACCACGTCGCCATTTTCGAGCACGCCGGCCTGCCTGTTAATAGGTATCGCTACTACAACAAGGACACTTGCGCTCTGGACTTCAGCGGACTGATTGAGGATCTGAAGGTGAGATAGTGTATGACTTCCTTACTATATTACTGACTTCTTTAAAATGTCCTTTAGAAAATCCCGGAGAAGAGCATTGTTCTCCTGCACGCCTGCGCCCACAACCCAACTGGAGTCGATCCTACTTTAGAGCAATGGCGCGAGATCTCCGCGGTGGTGAAGAAACGTAATCTGTATCCCTTCATCGATATGGCCTACCAGGGCTTTGCCACTGGAGACGTTGATCGCGATGCCCAGGCTGTTCGTACCTTCGAAGCCGATGGCCACGACTTCACCTTGGCCCAGAGTTTCGCCAAGAACATGGGATTGTATGGTGAACGTGCTGGTGCCTTTAGCATTGTGTGCTCCGACGAGGAGGAGGCAGCCCGTGTATTGTCTCAAGTAAAGATCCTGATCCGTGGTCTGTACTCCAACCCTCCTGTTCATGGAGCTCGTATTGCCGGCGAGATCCTTAACAACGAGGACTTACGTTCCCAGTGGCTGAAGGATGTGAAACTGATGGCCGATCGGATTATCAATGTACGAGCCCAGCTCAAGGATAACCTGGAGAAACTGGGATCCAGCCAGAACTGGGACCACATTGTTAACCAAATCGGCATGTTCTGTTTCACGGGCTTGAAGCCAGAACAGGTTCAGAAATTGATCAAGGAGCACAGTGTCTATCTGACCAACGATGGTCGTATTTCGATGGCGGGAGTAACCAGCAAGAATGTTGAGTACCTGGCCGAGAGCATACACAAGGTCACCAAGTAGGGTGGAGCTAAAAGTGGACCAGTGGAGATCGAAGTAGAGATGGAGTTTCAGTAGTACCTTCTTATCGGCACCTGTACGAATTTTCTAGCACCAATGAAATTGAGAACTCTAGTTAAACGAATGCATTTTGCACACTCTCTATATATCTCTGTATATAAGCTAAATGATCTGCCTTTTTGAAAGTAAAGCATTTTAAATGATAGAAAATACTACTGATTGGAATTCTTTCCTTGAATAATGGGGCTAGTTAAGATTAATTATAAAAACATATTTTTAATTTTTCTCAGGTTAATTACAGTCATAACTAGTGTTATTAATCTATATTCGAATTTTATCGGACCACAAAACGTAAATTAAGTTTAAAAAACATTTAGGTTACTAACAAATGTATAAAAGCTCATGTTCAATTTTCATTTAGATAATCATATTTTACTAGCATCCAATTTTTATATACAACTAGAATCACGGTTTGTTATAACGATATCTTAACTTATCGCTCGGCTCACAGTACTCCTTGATAATGAGCTTGCACAGGAATATGTGGAATACTATGATAATTGCACACACGGAAACCCAAAAAAGTGTGGGCAATCCCCCCAGTTGGTGGCCATGCCGATGCAGGGCTATCAGATGTTGCTCATGGGCGGGAGCTGCAAAAACAAATATTAAATATTTAGAAAATTAGTGCATTAAGAACTATTATATTTGCATTTCCTAGAGCTCTAACTAACCTTCAACCACTTCCTTAACGTGGATGGCATGGTGCAGCTCTTCCATGTGCTGTTTGTCTTCGGTTATGTATAATATTGCTGTTAAAGGTTCTGTCAGTTTGACTGGAAATTGTCGTCGATTTTGTCTGCAAAGTAAAATCGTATTTAAAATAAAATTCTTGCAATTTTCGACTAAGCTCATTAACTTACGTGAGAAGGACAGGCTCATCTAGACAGCCGCCATCACAGGCATAGTAACTCCTATCTGAACGATCAAGAGCCACATTGATCACCGCCTTATTGTCATCCTTTACAATGATAGTGACATTGACATGGGTTTTATTGCCATAATTTAGGCGCCTGAAATGGAAGTCTCTGTGCAGAAACTTTGGATGGATGTTGCACTCGAGGTGCTGATTGCTAAAACGAAAGCTGCCAAAGCTCAGGACCATTCCTTGAATTACGCCTGAGGCTCCAGCTCGGATGAGATTGTGACAGCCCTGCTTTTCCAATGTTAACATCCATGATGTTACCAAGGAATTAAGTTGCTGTAGATTAGACATTTCCCGCCACAGATTCTCTGCTTGCAAAGTGTGATAAGAATCGTAGCAACCTTCGGCGTAGGTTAGTGCCTTCGCTATATCTTCTTTTTTTGAGGACCCTTCCTCGAACTCAAAGCTGCGCACCTGGGAGAGAACAGCATACATTGTGGCATTGATACGATCGCCATTCAAGCTGTTTTCCGCCTTGGAGGTGCTTATCGTAAAGCCAGTTGCCCACAAATCCGTCCAAACATCGATATGTTCTTGGCGGTAAGTATTTATGCTGTTCAGAGAGCCCGGATTGGAGGCTTTTGAGCCAAGTTTCTGGAGTAGCTTAGCCATCGCCTGAGTAGCTTGCTGTTCAGTGACTTCGCTAATACCATTGACTTGGGCATCCGGCATTGGTTTCGAATATTGCACTGCTATTGGATACACAATACGAACTGTGCCTCGCTTTCTAAGCTGCAGTTTGGAATCCATCTGCGGTTTTACTATACTTATAACAATGGATTTACTGGGTGTTTCTGGCTGGGGCTGAACCGTGCCTGTGAGTACCTCCAGTTCGGTGTATGTGAACACTCCCACTGATACGGGTTCACTGAAAAGATAAAGATCAGACTAGAGTTTAACTTAATTGAAAGGATATGTTAGTCATAATTCTACCTGAGAGCCACTGTGCGCTTGGTGAGCTTTTGCAAATTGACGCGTGGCATGATCAGCTCTATGTCCTCCAAGAGATTCCTGGTATTCGTGATCTGCATCTCCTGCATGAAGATATTGGGCTGAGTGCGATGGGCGTAGTAGGTATAGGAAACAAAGTAGCCGGCGAAGCACTGGAATCGGTGGACCATTCCTGTTAAATATTCCACGACAGTGGCCTCCTTTTCACCACCAGGTCCTCCAGATACGGAAACCACCGGTTGGAATCGAATGGGCAGTTGCATGGCCCTGCCATTTTTGATGTTCAGGAAAGCATCGTGAGCTATCTCCAGGCCCAGATAGCCATTTCCCACGTAGGGCGTGAAATCGCGTTCGCCGGGCATTTTTGCTGGTGACACGTGACGAATATTGGCATCGAACTCAAAGTTTTGCAGGATAAAGGGAGTCAGCCTATCGTCCATGCACATACTATGGGGATCTGCAAGGATGGTAGTTAGATAAGAACTTTAAGATCTGGTTACTCACCTTTCTGTTCGGGGGCACTAAGGAAGATATAGCGAAAGATCGGCGGAATCATATAGAAGACCACACAGACGCAGAGGAGCAGAAGGAACAGCCGACGGTACGAGGACATCGTACCCTCCGCTAGCCGCTTCATTCGACGCATCACGTCGCCGGCGTCGAATTTGCTTTTCGCTGAGCGGAACAACATTTTCCAGCAGTGTTTCTATGCCCGGAAAATATCGGAAAATTGAAATACATTTCAATTCAACACCATTCTTTCTAGTGAATGGCAATTTTAATAGTGATGGGACGGGATGGGATATCGGTTAGGCACTCATGATACCCTTGTGGGGAATTATGATTTTCTACGATTTGTGTAACGTAAACTTTTACTTTTTCAGTATACTAACTTAAAATTAAATTGGGTATATCTTTTGGTTAGAAATGGCATTCACAACCCATTATTAAATTTAATAACGTGACTTAAGGCATGTATTATAATAAATTGTAAACATTTATTAAATCATTTATTGATTTGTAAATTTGTACAATCCTAGGTTCTGAGGTCCGTTATCACTGGGGAACACATATTGTAGCAACCATTGGTAGTCATATCTTTAACTATTAATTTTGTATATTTAAATTAAAGTTCCCGGTCCTTTAAATCACTTATTGCATCTTTCGACTAAAAGTAAACAATAAAAATTAGTTGCCTATAAAAGTAAACAGATGTTTTTCATACAACCGTTTTAAACCAGAATGAAGAGAAAAAGTTGATCTTGTTACCGAAGCTCATTTCGGAGGGCGGATAAATGCCATGCATATGTAGGTGGTGAACTGATATAAATGGTGGCATATGGAACCCAATAATAGCCTTGTCAGGATTTATATTCTTCGACTTCAGAAACTCCTTCATTCCCGCGTCCATGCGTTGAACTACGAATATAAAATGTTGGCAATAATATGCATGCATAACCACCTGAAACGTGGCTTACCCAATCCAAGGTGGGATTTGTTCAGTGATTTGAAGCTATCAAAGTGCTCTTTAGGAATAGCCAGGTAATGAAATGTAGATGCAGGATATTTGTCCTTGAATATCACATATTCATCAGTCTCAACTTCTAAAACTGGTGGAGGTCCTTGGACATGGTGGGCGAAATCACAGAAGAAACATTTACGAATTTCAGATTGTCTTCCTTCCCCGTTTCTACTATTGTAGATCGATACCAATATTATTAAGCCAAGTCCAGCCAGGCCGGCTATATACATTCGTTTTCTTTTCATAATGTTTTCTGACAGGTTTGGCATTTTATTTAACGTTTATTTCTATGGGAAAATGTTTTGAAGATCGGTTTTAATTTATGGAGTTAAGTAAATTGTTTTGATATGTTGAGTAAACATTGCTTCGTGGTATTAACCCTTTAACCACTAAACGGTATTTTTTGCCATTCCATAAAATAATTTAAATTTAAGGCGGGAACTCAAATTTGTAAATACTTGTTCAAAATAATAGTAATAGTAATAAAGTAATAGTAATTATCTTACATAAAAAATATAAGTATTATTATAATAAGTTTTGGCTTCATTAAAATTATTTGATTTGAATTATATATTCTGATCCCATTTGAATACACGTTATCTAATTATATTAATTTGGGATATCTGTTTCTGAGTGTTACCTACATCCATTGCAATAAATATTTTGTTTTTGATATACAACATATGAAAGTTTATGCTTAATTAGCAGTCTAAATAATAATAATGTTTCTATAGAAAGTCACAATATGCAGTCACTTTACTTGCGCATCGCTGTTACCCCACTTCCCTGTGAACGCCAATACCTAGTAGTGCTGCTCAGCGCGCACTTTTTGGCTGTTGGCGCTGCTTCTTCTTCCGCGCATCGCTACCGCGTTTCGCTGTGAGTGGCTATGAGATATTAGAAACGCTGCCCTCGGAGTTTGTTTTATTTAACCAGCTCGATTAGCGACTTAATCCTGCATTGGCCAAAGCTCAAGCAACCTGAAAATCACGGGATCGCCGCCGGCCAAGGACATCAATCAAGGGAAAGTCGGGATGTGGCCGCAAACGCTGGAAATGTCGCGGGACGAGTGCCGAGGCATGCTGCGTCGACTTGGTGAGATCTAAATGGTCCACGAAAGTGGTCCCGATCCTTGGGAGCTATCGAGGCTCGCTCCTTAAGATGAAGACCTCCTTCTTAGCCACATCTTTCCTATTGTCTATGTTATTGTACCCACCAGAACTCGAGTCCTATTCGCATGTTGTGAGTGTTTTTCGCGCCCAAGGAGCCCTAAGTGAAACCAAGGCAAAACTGCTGGAGGAACTGCGCCAACAATTCCACATTAACCAGGAGCGTCACCGGGCGGAAGTGCGAAGAGCTGCCAACGACGAGCAGCTTTGCACCATAGCCGAGAAGTACGAATTTGCTGTTTTTAACCCTTGGAAAACCTTTAAAAATTCTATGTATATCTATAATCCGCTTCAGCGTTTGTGGCCCAAACACCTGGCAGGAATGGTCGCGCGAAGGACGTCGTCCGTATCCTCTTCTTCCCAGGATCAGTCCACAAACTGCTTTAAGTATTGTTGCCAATGATCTGGCAGCCAAAGCTTCTGAGGAAAATGCCAAATTGGCGACTCCTGCCGAAACGGCGGTCCATTTTGGAGAAGCCCTCTTGGAACAGGCTTCGCTGATGAGCCTTAAATATCCTCGGAGTGGCAGGAATCAAGAACCCGCCCAGGTGATCATGGAGGAGCCGGTGAGTTACATAATCCTAGTATTTAAGTTTTCTCTCGCTTGAGGGCAGCAAAAGTGCAGACTGTACCTGCTGTGAAAATTCAGTGGGTGGCTGTTATTGTGCACGTCTAAAAGGCTTCCAAGAGTCTAACCACCTCTAAATATAAGCTTTAATCAGTAATTAGCCCTCAAAAGATAACTAAAAACATAATCCGTTGAAGGAACAAATGTCCCATTTAGACCTCCTCCAATTGGTACGTTGTGCTCCAATCAGAAAGTTAATTGGGTGGGGAAAAGTGGTTGATTATCTTAATATGGTTGACATAATTAGATTCATGTATGTCATCTTGCATGTTTATCTAATGTTTTTCTTTCATTTGCTAATATATCTTTTGTTAATAAGCCATTTAACTTTAACTGCCATTAACAGAGAACTGTAAGTATCTGTTAACCTGGCTGTTAACAATCTGTTAAAGTCCAGCTGTTATCGATAGAAGGTGAACATTCCTTGTCGTTCAAATCGGATTTTGAACGGTGTTATATAACATGAGATAACTAATAAGAATTATTATTTAGTATTGTTTATTTTGTAATTATTATTATAAAAACTTTCTTTTAATTTTTGAAAATGTTTGGAGTGTTCGCTCACTACGTCGTAATTTTAATTTTTTAAAATTGTAAATGAAAATTTGATTAAGAATTTTGTACTATTTTTAAATGTATTTAATTTTACTTTTTCTTCCTTTAGTTTAAGGTGCCCGATGTGCCCAACGAGGTGAAGAAAATGACTCAAAAACGTAAGGAGAACGAGAGTGGAGCGGAGGGCAAGCCCAACAAAAAGAGACATATGCAACAGCCTCATCCACAGCAGCCACATTTGCCAGTTTCCCAGCAACAGCAACAGCAGCTAAGTCCATCTTCAAATCATGTCGTCGATGATGGAGATCCAGTGCCTGCGGAGAAGCGGTTAACTCCTCGAACTCCTTCAGCAACGCTACTTCTATCAGCAGCAGATGAAACATAAGCAGCGGCAGGCTAGCAAACGGAATTTGACCAATAGCCTGGGTTCACCTTCTGTCCAGGCGGGAAATCCTTTGGGCGGCAGGAATATTACGACAACAGGGGGAGAATCTAATCCAGGCAAGCGAATAGCTGCTCCTGCTAAGAGTGGGCGGAGGGCGCAGAAACAACTGCAACATCAGCAGCAACAAAAGTTGCAGCAACATCAGCAACAGAAAGTATTAATGCAGTCACCGGAAGCGGTGCCCAATCATATGGTCGTACAGCCGCATGTGGAGTATGTGCTTGATGAGGCGCTTAAAACGTTGGCTGCTACTACGCCTCCAACGCCCACGTCTACGGCCACTCCTCCATATACCTTCCTCAATGATCTGAGACCCTTGGTCACGCTAAAGCCACTAAAGCCCATTAAACCCATGGTGTATGGACCGCAAAGCGGATCGGGTGCGGGTGAAATTGGTTCACCCACAACGCCAGGCTCTCGAGGATTCGCCAACTCGCCAATAGTTTTTAAGGAGAAGCTCCAGGCTTCACCTGTTCAGGTGCAAACCCCGAATCAAACTACGCCCAATAAGAAGTATGTGGTAGAAGAAAGACATCCGGATATGCTACCTTCTGCTGTCACTGCTACGCCCACTCCCATTTCCACTGCAAATCTTCCACTGGCTCCGCAGATCATCAGTGTTCAACAGATCCCAGCTCCCCCAATGGGTGCTAAACTGAGGCCAGCAGTGGCCTCACCAACCAGTTCCACAAATTCTACGCTCTTACCACCCGGCTCCAAGATCACCCCCAAGAAGTTCAATATTCTCGAGGGCGATGCCAAACCGAAGACATTGCCCAGCTCGGCGGTCCGACTTTTGCCCTACACGGAACCCATTGGCGGCCCTTTATCGCCTCTGAAGGATTCCAGGGTTACTCCCTTAAGCAGCGCATCCACAGTTAATATCATCAAGAATATACCAGCAAGTAGTCTGAACAATACACTGATAACACCGCTCCCATCAGCCGGAACTACAATGCCGGCGAATCTCTTTAGAGCGAAGGTGACAAATCCTCAAATAAAGGCTGCAAGTGGCAGTGCAGGTGGAACGGTAATTGGTGCAACAGGAGCAGCAGGAATAGGTGGAACCGGTACTGCCCCTCAAATACTGGGGAACATCAAGTTAACCAGCAGCACGGGAGGATCAGCAACCATCAAACAGGTGCCCAGCAGTGCACTGCGGAACATTAAGATTTGTTCACCGAATGGAAAGGTATTCCTGCAGCCAGGAAAACTACCAGCAGGAAGCATTATTCATAAATTAAACAATACAAGTAGCACTTCGGTGAGTGGAACAGGAGGGGTAGTGACAACCACCACAGCTGTTTCCCCCACAAACCTACCGGCGAGAGAACAAAGAATCAGCATACAGAAGATGCAGATACTCCAGCCGGCGACTGCAGTAGGTAGCAGTAGTGGCAGCAGTCCCACCACCAACACAACCACCATTTCCGGCTTGAGTTCGAGTGCCAAGCAGCCAAGTTTAGGCACCAAGCCCACCACTCTGACCTTCGCCACTGCAGGCGGTGGTAAAAACAATCTGGTCTTCCTGCCAGCGAGTGCGGCGACTGGAATGAGGGCACTCACACTAGCAACAAAGCCCAAGTCCAATGTGCTGGTCATCGGAGCAACAACATCTCCTGCGACCACGACTAGTGCATCATCAGCAGCTACTCCAAATCCCTCGGCAGGCACGAAGCCCAAACCCAATCAACTCATCACTGAGGACACACCCATCGATATTATAAATATGCCCATCATAGTGGCGGACAATGGAAACTCTTCGGAGCTTAATCAGGCTACGGTGAAGAACTCTCCTTTAGTGGTTTTCAATGCCACCGATTGGGAGATGGAGTTGGATCAGGCGGCCACTAAGTCGGCCACCACACCCTCCAAGCAAGCTCTAGACGATGTCATAATAGAGGAAGATGAGGATATCGAGGAGATAGAGGAGCGGAGTGATCAAGCATCTACCATGGACCTGAACAATAGCAGTAAGTTGGGTTTTCAGGTCTATTTTCTAGCGAAACTTATTTACATTTTGTTTCTAGTAATTGAACTTCATCCGGAGGATGACAGCGCCATCGAATACGTGGACATGGATCTGGAGCAGCCAATCGAGATCGAGAGCACCAGCAACATATCGCCAGAGACGGCCACTACCACCTTGAAGGCAGCTATTGTCTCGGCATCTCCACAGCAACAGAAAAAGCTATTGGAACAGCCATTGGTAAAAGGAGCAGGGGCAGCTACCCTATAGATCGGTTATCCAATCAAAAAATAAGTTACCTTAAAAAGTCCCCCAATTCGAGATATTCGAGTGAGAGAACGCACACGTATACACACACACACACAGCCCGGTTTGAATTAGATTTAGTTTAGTAGTTTAGCGTCAATGTCAAGTTTTTCATTTTTAATATTTGGTTATTGCAACCCGAAGCCTTGGAGCAAAGTGCAAGATTATCGTATATTATATCTCTATGCTAATTTGTGGAGCCTAAGTTAAAGATGAGCGTAATGTTCGCAATAGTTAAGTTGCCAAATCATACAACCACCACTGTTCTAAACAATATTATCGTATAGTGAAAAGTTTACCCTGGAATTCGTGTTAGTTTTTAGTCTTATTATTTCATTTCATTCGCCTGCAATTTTTGAAGCCTGGAATCGATTCCCTTCTTCTTATCTCCTGTATATAGGGCAGATGCCTCTGCAGACTTACCTTAATTTTGTATAGCTTGTAAATAGATTCCACACAATTCGCCCCTTAACCCTCATATAATTTGCCTAGTATAATTTCATTTTAGCTAAGTTGCCTAGGTTTATCCAGAAAAAAAATTCAAAAAATTGTACACAAAAACACAAATAATTCGAGAAACACGCAATGAAAGTGAGAAAATTGTTTAAATGTTCAACTTGAAAGAATTCTTAATTGTATGAGATTATAGAGCCTAGTTGACCCAAACCGAACATGTAAATATCAGATGAATTTCGAAATGCAAACCTTATATCGCATATACAAATATACATATGTATAGACACCTAGTTCGGCTAAGAACCCCACACATGTTTAAAGGAAACTCATGCCACACACATACACACACACACAAACAAACAGATGATTAACCATTAACGATTTATAGATCTTAAGTATTTTATGCGTCGATTTTGTAAATCCAAATCTTAAGAGGAATGTTGTAACTTTTAGACCAAGCCCAAAATGAAAAACAAAAACAAACGGAAACGGAAACACCATCAAAAATAAGAAAGATTCCTCCCCTCCACAGAAATAAGCAGAAAAGTAAAAATTGTAATACAAAAATATTGTTGAACGATGCGTGTCGCTGTAAAATTTTTAGCATAGAAATTTTAAACGAAATAAATTTAAATGTAACAAATACTACAAATGAGTTTTACAGAGTATCAATAAGATTTCTAAGGGAGAGATAAGAAACAGAAAACCCAAGTTAGTTTTGTCTTTTTTAATGGTTATATATGTACAAACATATATCAATATAATTTCATTAATGCACAATGCAATCCTGCCACTTAACTTGTTAACTTATTGCTGTTGCCAGAGAATCGAGTGGTAATTGAAAAATAGTTTGAAAAATATATGATTTCTTGTATAAGAGTTTGGTTAAGAAAAATAGAAATCCAAACTGTAAAAAGGGAATTAGACTAGTTTCGAGGATCAGTTAAGGGTCTAGTTCCGACCCAAGGTCATGCCCCGGCCCCAAGGACTTTCAGCAGCCTGTCGTGGTGGTGCTCTGCTTTCAGGTGGGACTCCAAAGCCACCAAATCCACCGGAAATATCCGGAACAAGGCGCTTCCTGAAAGTGAAAAGCGTGTAATCAGCAAATCGTTCAAGTTCAAGTACTAAAGCATTTATCATTAATGATTTATACTTACAGAAACTGAGGGGTTTCCAGCAGGGCAACGCCACCCAGGTCCTGGGAGTACTGGAACTTAAAGAAGTAGTAGACATGACCGACAAAGATTCCCACCAGCGAGGCTAGAGAGCTGAAAGGGGATTTACAATTATATTAATAAGAAAAAGGCGATGATCCTGTAAATACTTACAAATGGAAAATGAACTCAAAGGCGGCCAGAACCCAGGGTAGGTACATAGCCTTGAATCTGGTACCAAACCAAAAGCTCACAGTGACATCTTTGTTCAGTTGACACCAAATATAGGTAATTGCCAGGACAAGCATGTCCATTAGGAAGTAAACATTAAAGATCATTCCTCCAATGTTGGCTAGCACAGCCGATACGATCAAGAGGTATAGATAGTCCGCTGGACTTCGGCTGTACTGATCTTTCTCCAGTTTTGAGCTGCAATAGAAATAAAGATATTTCTAGAAAACATACTTTGAACGGACAACACAATCCACCCACCTGTATTGCACGATGAAGAAACAGTTGATTAGGAAGTGGAAGGCCGTATTTGAAGAGATTGGGAACACAAACAGTGACGTCACACAGCGCCATAGCTGCAACTTGCCAAAGACCGCCGATCGGTCCAGATGCAACCAATATAGGGGTATAACATCAAAGCGGCACAGCATACTCAACACCACGGTGGCCGTCAACCAGTATCTGGTGAATCGGGGCAGCGAGCGGTACCACACGCCAGCGTCCATTGTTTCTGGTTTTATATTTATTTGAATTTAATTCATAAATTTGATAGTTTACTCCGGGAGTGATTCCGTATTTTTGTTGCCTTTACGTGTCTTTAATCGATATCAAGAGATGCCATTTGTCGTAGGAGTATCATGAATCGATATCAGAAGTTGCCATTTGTCACGGTCTATCGTGAGTAACAGCTGTTTGCTTACGTGTCTTTTTGGAGAATATAATGTTGCTGTTTGTGGCGAATGCCGGAACAGTCATGACTATCTGCTAAAGATGAATACGCTTCCCAGTGAATGGCTCCTTTTGCATTTGAATTTGAAAAGTAACTTATTTTATGTTTGAAAATTCTTTTGGGGGAAAGATAAATTTATGCAGGAATTTGAAATTTTTATTTTGACTCGAACTTTGGAATAATGGTAAAGCTTTTTTAATTTGTATTTTAAGACATCTGATTTAAAAATTGTAACATTATACTAGTAAAAAAATTGTAATATTATTTTTTAAATTTTTAAAGTAATCGTAATGAAAACAAATAATTTTTATTACTTATTTTGTAGTTATTATACTTAAAAGAGGTTTTATATTGTTAGGAAATTTGTATCTCATAATAACACATCAGTTAATTCTGAAATAAAGTAAATGTTAAAAATAGGATTTCTCGCACAATTTTTTTCAGTCTGTAATCACTTAAATGCATTTAAAAGAATTCTTATTAAAATTCATTGCGTATTAATGCTTAAAATGTGTTCTCAATATATAGCTATCAAAAGATTGTTGGATTTAAGTTATTTTTCATTATTATTTTTGGTAAGCCCCTTCCACTATTCACCTTTGATCCCGCAATTTCTGATTTTTTGTGGTAACATTTGTTGAGGACTGACATAGCGATGAGCAACAACAAAGCGCACGCACACACATGCAGGACACTTAATTCATAACAGACGAGAGCACACAAATAAATAGCGAACATTTCGTTACGTGTTTTTTGGCAACTTTTTGTGGTATCTTTGTGGAGATGCCTTTGTTAGCCAACGAAAAATAGGAATTTTGGACAGGTAAGAAGCGTGTGCCACTCACTCACACACACACAGACACACTGCACACACGAACGCACACAATTGCAATGCAGTGGTGCGAAATTAATCAACTTGGAAATTGTGCGCTTTTCCAATATTCTGAATTCTCGAGTGGTCGTCGCTGTGCTGATTAATTTTCAAAAAAAAATCCAAACTGTCACAAAGTAGATTATTGAGTCTCACATTTTCTTGCCTAATTCGTTTTTTTTTTTAGAATTTTTTCCTAACGAAAGTAAAAGCCGGTTTTTAAAACGAAAAGTAAAGTTCAAATTTTTGGAGTGCCGATGCATTTGAATGGTCAGTCAGTGAGTAAGAGTAAGCTAGCAATAGTTGGTGTGGGTGCCTGTTGAATTTCCAGAGGGAGCGAAAGAGATAGACAGCGCGAGAGTAACAGTAACAAAATGTCGAGGCTAATCAACTGTGCGTGTGTGTGTGTTTGAGTGAGTGAGCGAGGACACACCCACCGATTGGCTATACGAAAATATGGTTGCTAGAGCAGTGCGACGCATGCGCTGCCATTTTGTGCGCCGACAGCGCTGCTTCTTGCCATTTGATACGCCCACTAACGGTGTTTTCTTGCTCATCATAAAGTTGTTCCACCCATACATATGCACCGTTACCTACACCTTCTTCGGAACACATATTGCATACATAGATGGGCTCTATTTACACATACCCGTTGAGCCTTTTGCCCGGGAAACTCAAAAACTCACCTGGTTCTCTCGGTCCACCTGGCTCTGTCATTTTGTTGTTGCCGATGACGTAGGTGCAGTCGGAAAAATAACTTAGGTTTCGATCAGAGTGCTCTGACATAAGACATTCCGCTTATAATTATTGTCAAGGAATTTTAAATTTTGTTTAATATAAAGTTTAAAAATTATATAAAAATACTAGATTACGGATTAAACTTCATTAAAAAAACAGAAACCTATCCAATTTTTAAGTTTTTTTTTTTAAATTCTTAATAACAATTAAAATCCTTTTAAAAAATTAAAAAAATCGGTGAGCAATAAAAGTTTAATTATATAAAACAGCTCTTAACAATAAAGTATTTCTTTCAGTGTGCTCGCTCATTTCGTTGCGTTCTATGTAGAGAAGGCATAGTCTCCACTTCTGCTCCTTCCTTGCGTCTTTTATTTAATATTTTATATGCAAACATTTTATTATCCCTTTTCCAACTTGCTCTGTCGTCTTTTTTTCCTGCCTTGAATTTTTGGCTTTTGTCCATTTCAATTGCTGTAATGAATGCCATATCTTCTCTCCTCCGTAGCCAGCATCCCTCCTTTTTCCCACTCCCCTCTCCCTACGCTCCATTGTTGCAGACACTTGAGGTGTGGAAAATGCAAAAAGTTGATTTCTTGAGCGCTTTGCGGAAAAGTCTTAGGGAAAAGTTGTCATTATCAAATGGAATCTGAAGCCTGAAATGGAATTCTGGCAGTTTTTGTTTGTAATTCTTTCAAATTTTGTTTTAAAGTAATTTAAAATGTAAATAATAATTATATAGTATTATAGGATATGGAATTACATAACATATTTAACAAACGGAAATTTGATTACCAGTTTATTAAAAACAAATGGTACAAGCCCATTTAATGTTAAAAGTGTTTTAATTCGATGATTTATTTATAAGCTATAAATAGAATTATTTAAATTAATAACTTAATAATGTAAAGCGAATGAAAATTCAAATTCTATTCGTTTTTTATAAGACTTAACTTTAGTAGGACTATCCTTTATCAAGATAACTGGCAAAATAATCATTGTTTATCCTTAAATTTTCAGAATAAACGCGCGATAACCTATACAAAATGAACAAAAATAATTCCCGGAGAGAATCGAAACCTTTTCAGATCGATTCCCAAAGTGAAGGAATATGAGATCGCTTGGCTTTTGTGAATTCTCATCGTGTTTTCTGTACGTATGGGAATTTTCGTGACGGCTTTTGACATTTGCCTTGCATCTAATTACTGTAATTATTTGATTAAAAAATCTCCCAGGGCGCCCAATCGTTTCACCTTTTCTCTTTCACCCTGCCCTCTTTCTCCCTCCTCACCTCTCTTTCGTTTTCCATCTCCATTACAGCGAAACAATGGCCTCACATGTGTGTAGTTGTGGCTCGGTCGTCATGGAATCGGGTGAAAATTCAGATGCTGAGCATATTTCGCATTCACAAAACGGCGATTCCATAGGGCATTTCGTTTTATTTGTCGTTTCTTTTTTCTTCTTTGGCCTCCGATTTCGATAATGGCCCAGCGGGAGAGTGAGACGGAAAGAGCGTGATAGGGGGCACCCAAAAAATGTAAAAAAGGACCAAACGAAAACTACTGCTAAAAAACGAAAATACAGTAGGCGTTGGGTACTTCGAAGGTGAAGAAAATTGTATATAGAATTCGATGGGAACCCTTTAAAAAAACATTATTAATTTAATAATTATACAATAAGATCACAGCAACGACAGAAGAAGATAAATTTCTAGGATACCCGGTAAGATATGCTACATTTCTTGAACAATGCAATAAGCATAAATTTAGCCTGAAGTTTAAGTTTCGTTAAGTTGCTAGATATTTAATATTTGCAACTAATAAAAAAAACTTTACATCAATCAATTAAAAAGGATCCCAAATTTAGGACTTCCCTTTCCTCGAGCGACCACTGTACTCACCTGTGTAAATGAGAGCTCAAAAAGAGGCAAATCACAAGAGCAGCAGCCCGCGACGATGCCAAATTGCAGTGCAAATATGTACACACCAAAGGGAGGGGCACAGAGGGAAGAGGGGTTGCTACAGATATCAGATGGAGTGAGGAAATGTAGGAGCAAGCGCTTAGTAAAAGGACAGTCAGCAGCTGCAGAAAAAGGAGGCAGAGAAAGGGAGAAGAGAGAGGCAGATGATGAGCATGATGGCGTTAATAGCACATACACTCACTCACACTAGCACCCCATCCCCCTTCACTCTGGCTCACTCTCTCTCTAACAACCCCCACCCCCAAAAAGGTGCGAACGAGAAGCATGATACATGATAATGACGTTCTGCGGTTCTCTCGATTTCTAGCTGTCAGTTAAGCGAGAGCGAGAGAGCGCGTCGGGTGGCTACATCTTGTTGTTGCTGCCTTTTTTGACTTTGCCGTCGGCATGTGGGTGTGAAAACGAGACAGAGGAACACGCTCTCTTATTGATCAAATTTACCGTTGCTTTTGCCGTCGCCATATTTCATATATATATATATATAAATATATATGCGAGTGTGTTTGTAGCCCAAAGGACATCGCAACTTGGTTGTTGCGTTTTTGTTTTTCGCCTTAATTTACTTTGGCGCATAAATCAAATATTTACATTCCAAAATTGACGTCTTGAAAGCGCGGTCGCAAAAATTCACCGTTCGTCGTCCTTTTGCGGTATTGCGTGTGTACGAGTACGTGTATATGTGTGGGTGCAGGTTTTAATACCTAAAACAAACAGTCATTTTGACCTCCAGCCGATTAGTAAAATACCAAAAAGTTACCAACATAATAAACACGCTTTGAAGTGTTCATCCGAAAAGCAAAAAAAAAAAAGGAAACAAAATCTTTGAAAATTCAATTTCCCTAAAGAAAATTCCATCTCAATATTAACTCAAGCTTAAGACATCAAAAAAGGGATATTAATTGCTGTGCGTAAACATTCGGAGCTTGGATCCCGGCAAATAAAGTGTGTGCGGAAAAGCTTTGGCTACATTTTCACCCTCTTATTGGTAAGTTTTCCCTCTGTTTGATTTTCATCTATGCATCTTAATGGCTGTTTGCTTAAGGTTCGGATAAATTAGCAATTCCCTTGGCTTTCTAATTGGTTACATATTTGGCATAGATCGATTGGTTGCGTTGCTAATTTGGGGCTTACTTTATACATTTTGGCAATTTTTTTTATTTTGACTGTCAACTTTTTTTGTCAATCTGTTAAACAGTCAAATCCCAGCATATTTTATGCTTTTTAATTTGTTTTCTTTATATTCTTTGACAGCATTTCTAATTGCGGTTTTAATTTAGATGGGAGATCTGTGTCCTTTATTCC